GGTCATTTGTCATTTTCTGCTTTGAGTCATTTGTTTCCAGATATGTTTAAGGGAGTGTTTTTATCAAGTCTTCATTGTGAATCGTGTGAACTGGCAAAGCATTGTAGACATTCTTATTCAGTAAGCAATAAAAGATCTCTTTCTCCTTTTCATATTGTTCACTCTKRCGTGTGGRGGCCATATCATTTGCCAACTATGGGGGGTTACAGGTACTTTATCATTTTTATTGATGACTACTCTCGTTACACTTGGATTTATCTCATGAAATCAAGGGATGAAGTACCAGCTATTGTGCAAAAATTTCATGAACTCATCCTCACCCATTTTAACACTCGTATCAAAATATTCCGTTCTGATAATGCTAAGGAGTATTTTGAGAGAACCCTCTCCACTTATCTTGAAACTTTTGGGGTTATTCATCAAAGTTCTTGTTCCTACACTCCACAACAAAACGGGGTGGCGGAAAGGAAGAACAGACCCCCCCTTTGAACTACTATTATGCATCTTTATCACAATGTCATCTACATAGACTACAAGTAGAGTCAGGGAATGACCTGTCTTCTTAAAGAAGAGTGTGATTTGACTGAGCCTGTATGTATCCGAATTTGTCCAAAGTCGGTCTAAACCTATCAAACTAAGCTCTTAGGGATTGTTTCAGCTCGTACAAGTTCTTCTTCAAAAGGCAAACTTTCTTTCCTGCTTCTGTACTATAAAAACCAGGGGCTAATTCCATGTATACTTCCTCTTGCAAGTCTCCGTTGAGGAAGGCATTCTTAACATCCAGTTGGAATAGTGGCCATGAGAAGTTAAGATACGGGAGATGGAAGTACAATAATGAGAGGATTAAATTCAAGTGGCTGGTGCGGGAGATGGAAGTTAAGATACGTTGGGTTAAAAGATYGGCTAATTCCCTAGCTGACGGTTTAGCTAAACAAGGGGCAGAAAGGGACTCACTTTTTTGGGCCAAGCTGTAATTGTAGTGTGTTTTCTTTCTTTCTTTCTTTTCTTTTTCTTTTTTTTCCTTTTCTTGAGGTTCTTTGTTGCTCTTGGAAGATAAGCGTGTTTGTCTTCCTTTTGTAAATCTTCTATTGGTGAATTAATGAAAGTGTTATTGATAAAAAAAAAAAAATAGTGGCCATGAGAAGTTTGTAGCAATGGATAGAAGAACACTGATAGTGTTCATTTTTGCAACAGGTGCAAAGGTTTCTGTATAGTCTATGCCATAAGTTTGTGTGAATCCCTTTCCTACCAATCTGGCCTTCTACCTCTCTATAGTATCATCAACATTATATTTCATAGTAAACACCCATCTGCATCCAACAAGTTTCTTCCCTTCAGGCTGGTTAACTAGTTCCCATGTGTTGTTCTTGACAAGAGCATCCATCTCTACTTGCATTGCTTCCTTTCATTCAGGTATCAAAAGAGCTTCTTGCACTTTTTTGGGTATAGGAATAGCAGAAATAGATGCCAAGTAAGATCTAGGACTCTGAGAGACAATTATAGGAAAGGAACTTGGAGATGCAGTGGGCAGTGGATGAGGTGCAACGGTGCTTCTCTTTACGAATAGCAATTGGAAGATCAAGGTCATTTGTCGGTGAAGGTTGAACATTTGTAACAGTGGGATTGCATCTCCCCAGAAGCGTATGGGAACATTGGAGTTGAGAATGATGCTTTTGGCTACCTCTAAAATATGCCTATATTTTCTCTCAGCAACCTCGTTTTGCTGAGGTGTGTGAGGACAGGTGCTCTAATGAATAATCCCATGATCAAGGAGATAGGATGCCAAGGGTTTTGCAAAGTACTCCTTGGCATTATCAGATCTAAGAATCTTGATCTTGGTTTCAAATTGAGTTAAGATCATTTGATGGAAAGCTGATTGCTATCAGTCCTGAGATTTTCTATCCGCACCTCTTTGAATGAATAACAAAGTCCTTTTGAGTATCAATCTCAAGAAAATGTACTTTATGAAGAAAAATGCCCAGAAAACTGATTGCTATCTTCAGTCTTCAAACTTGATCAATCGACTACTGTCAACACCTTGAATCTTGATTAAAGAACCAAGAAAAAGCTGATCGGCACCTCCAATCTTGATCAAGAATCGATCTTGATCACTCAATTCCTGCCTGATTCTTCCTAATTACAAGAAGCTCTCTCCAATCTTAGGACAGCTGCTAAAGCCTTCTTGCAACCTCCAAGAATCAGCTGAAGTAAGGATCTTTCTAAACTTTCAGCCCTAAACAATTCTCATGTGGTCGGCTGAATTAAATCCACATGAGAAACCCTAGCTTTGATACCAACTTGAAAGAAGAAGAAGAAGAACCGTTTATTGTATTACAGGTTTGAAGAGAAGAAAAAGAGAGAGAGAGAGAGTGAGTGAAGAGAGGAGAAAAGAAAGAAGGGGTTCGGTGGTTAGTGATCTGCTGCCCCATACACTTCTTTATTTATAGCTTTAGGTTCCTTACAAGAATAGGAAATAAACAAATATTAGAAACAATAAAGCCAGCCGGCCCAACTTAAAAGAAATTAGAAACTTCTAATAAAAGGAATTATAAACTTCTAATAAAAGGAATTAGAAACTACTAATAAAAGAAATTAGAAACAACTAATAAAAGAAATTAGAAACAACTAGGTGTGGGTATGAAACCACACACACTAGAGCCTGAGTGTGGGTATGGAACCCCACACTCGTGGCTAACCAAATATTTCTTTAAGGAGAAGAGGGATCATAGAGTGGGTTGGGAGGTGGTGACTAGAGGCAAGAAGTCAGGAGATCTTGGGATAGGGAATATTAGGATAAGGAATATGGCCTTGTTGGGAAAGTGGTTATGGATGTTCCCTTTAGAGAAGGAGAAGTTATGGGCTAGGCATAGTTGTAAAGGTGAGATCCCCCCTTCCTCTTCGTCCTCCTCCTAACCCCCCTCCTCTTAAGAAGGCTTATGCCCCTTGCGTTCTGAATTACGCCTCACGCCTCTAGGTAGTGGAATGCCTTGCGTCACACCTCCGCGCTTTAAAACATTGATAATGATATGTTTGAGCATATTTGTCTTGTTTCCAGCTTCTGCATAATGCAGTTTTAGGTAGTTTTCCCATGTCTTGCTTTAATTTCAATCCTATATTATGTTATTGAGTCTTTTCCTTTTGGTTGCAATAGCATTTTTGAGCAGTTGGAATGTTGATGCATCTGAGGTTATCCATGAATGTAATCAGAATCTAGTCCTGTAACCTCATTATATCGTTCCTTTTTTGTGTGAAGATTTGTCTGCTGTGACCCTGATGTGTTAGTTTTCCCTTCTTTATATTTTACATTTAATATTATTGTAGGAATATCATCCTGAATGATTCATCAAAATTGCAGTTGATACAAAGGTCCCTTGGAGAAGGTCTTTTCTTGCTCCTTTGCTTTTTTTTTTTTTCTAATATCCTTGTTATCTGTTAACCCTTTTATGAACAATCCTTTGTTTTGGTTTATTTCTAATTGAAACAAATGCTTCATAAGAAATTTATTGCTAATTTTAAGAGACGTTGAAAAGCAGATTGGTCAAAATAGTCATGTGGAATTAACAAGAACATGCTCTGGGTGTATTTTTTTTTATCAATATGACACCTTTATTGATTCTTTAACAAAAACAAATACAACACTCAACACTACTTTCTCATGAAATAAAAGGGTAGAGACATCATAATTCAGTTACTTTGAACAATTACAAGTTTCAATCTAAATTATTTCTTGTCACATCCAATCCTGTATGAGGTGCGGTGACTCCTTGTCACCTTGACATTCAATGTTGCTTTCTTGATGAAATAAAACTTCTTTATTGATCTTCAAAGAAAAAAAGACTTAGAGGCATCTAAATGTAGAGTCATTATAACAAGGGAGAGGTTGAGGGGGATGCCTCCCATAATTGGAGCAGGATGAGCAAAATCTAAGGGTGTATTTGGACTCCCATGTGATAGGAATATACCACTTAGATTCAGGGAAAATTTTATAAGATTGTTATAAAGCCACCAGCATTGTTGTGTGGAGTACAGTGTCGGGAAGTTAAGGAACAAATTGTCCAAAAATGAGTGCAGAAAAATCCAAATCTTGAGATGGAGAAGTGGAAAACTAATAAGGATATGATAGAAAACTGACACAGTTATAGGTACCTAGGAGTAGCCACAGTAGGTGATAAAATGAGGGAAAGTAGACTAAGATGATAAGGACATAAGGTCACATGTAGAGAAGGCCATCTACAACACCAATGAGAAGAAGTCATCTTTTCCAATTTGAAGGGTCTAGAAGAGCTAGGGGCAGGCCAAAGAAGACATGTGTTGAAGTAACAAGTAATAATTTGAAAGCCCGAATGCACTAAATAGAGTAGAATGGCAGATCAGGGTTCATGTAGTTGACCCCATAGAGTTTTTTTTTTTTGATCAATAACAGAATTAATATCATTAATTAAAAAGAAAATTAGTACACTTGAAGAGAAAGAAGGGGGAAGGGATGACCTCTCTTAGCTCCTCCCCAATTGAACAAATTAGAACGCAGCCCAAAATAAGCTATTCTTTCCCACCCCTTGTTTAGCAAGTGTATCAGCTGTTCTTGGTTCGATTTGCACTGGATAAGAGAGAAATAGAATAGAAGAAGAAGAAAAGAAAGAGAGAACTAGAAGAGAAACCCTTTGGTTCAGCTAGAGAGAGAATTCAGTCTCACTCCCTAGCCGACCAGACTAGGGAGGATGATGCTGCTTGCTAGTCCACAGAAAGTCGAGCTACCAGCTCAAAGGGTGAGTCCAGGAATGGTGAAGCTGAGGAAGAGCCATCTTATGCAGTTGCGAAGCTGCCAAGGCCGTGGGTCTAATTGATTGCATGTGTTTAGCGATGCTACCCTCAAATGTGGTATCACACATTGCGTGCGAGTGTAGATCTAGTTCAGCTTTGCGTGAAGCCTTGCATTTAATCCGGACCTGTAGTAGCTAGGCTTAACCTGCGAGTTTTCCTTACAACACCCTGCCTCTCTCAAGTCAATTCCAACCTCACAAATAGCTTGATGTACATAGAAAGCAATGACTTCGTGCCACTTGCTTGTAGCGGAAGTCATGCCAATGATTTGATTGTGTCAGTACTCAGTAGCAGATCTTTGAGAAAAGCTGACACTTGGAATTGCCAATTTCCATCCCAAGATTAGTTATACCTTTGTCCTACCAACGATTGTTTTTTCATTTTTGTACATCAGATTTGAGCACCAAAAGGTAGGGGTGAGCAAGAGAAACCGAAAAACCGAACCAAACCAGTCGGTTCAATATTTTTAAAAAATCGAAGGTACCGGTCCGGTTTTGGTTAACCAATATAGAAAACTGAAAGTTAAACAAGCCGACTGGTATACATATATTTCTATATATTATATGTATATTATATATATTTTTATTTTCTATTTATTATAAATTAATAAATATGCATTATATATTTATAATATATAATATATCATTTATTATTTAAAATATAATATTAATATATTATAAATATTTAGTTTTTTATATATTTATATATTTTTTATAATATTTTATAAATATAAAAAAATCAAAAAATCGATGAACCAAACTGGTCAACCGATTGGCTTCGGTTCAGTTTCAGTTACCAGTTTTCTAGAAACCGGTAATACCAGTTTGGTTTCAATACCAGTTTGGTTTCAAAAATAGGTCCACGGTTCGGTTAATTGAAACGTGAGCACCCCCTACCAAAAGGTGCCTACCTTTTTGAACTTGGCAGTATATAAAGGCTGGCTGCATCATTGTAAGGAGATGAAGATTGAACTTTAAGGAGATTTAGTTTAATACAATTGCATTCTATCCTTATTTTCTCTCTCACTGGACTTGTTTAGAGCCATAGAGAACCCCTAGATCCTAACATTGTTTACATGTGTAGAGACTTGGGTTGCTCCTTCGACATGTTGCAAAACCTAGAGTGAGTGTTCCTTCAGTGCTGTGGCTAGCTTTGTGGTGGTAGTAGTGTTTTCCCTGTTGTAGTCGGTTGTCTTCTTTCTGAGTTTTCTCCCCTTGAGGATTACCAACCACACCACATGACTATTCTTCTGTTCAGCCTCATCATTGTGTTGAAGTGTCTATGAATAGGAAGATTGATGGATATTGCCAAGAAAATCAAAACAAGACTAAAACCTACTATGAAAGTATTCTTTGGCATTATCAAAATGAAAAACCTTAATGGTAACGCCAAAGTGATTTCGTATTTCAACATAAAATGGAAGAAAAATATAGTACAATTCTGAATGATCTTTCATTAAATACATCTGTGTCATCCTTGAAAAATCATCAATAAAGGTTATGAAGTACTTGAACCCATTGTAAGATGAGATATGACTAGGACCTCAAACATTACAATGAACAAGTGAAAAAGGACTTAATTATCAAAAAAAAAAAACAAGTGAAAAAGGACTTGAGGCATGCTTATCTTCTCTTGGGATGAAAGACATTCTATAATGTTTGTTAAGTTGACATTGATTGGCACTTTAAACTTGAAATTTACTTTTAAGGTAGAAACTACTTCAAAACTTGGAGAAGGGATGGCCCAAACAACAATTCCATTGTTGAGGTGTGAGTGAAGAATGAAGAGCTTTCTGTGAACCACCATCACCTTCTAGATAGTACAACCCTCCAACTTTCTGTCCACCACCAATTGTCTTGTCTTCCTTGTCTTGAGATCCTGAAAGACACAATAAGGATAAAAGGTGATTGAGCAATTAATATATTTAGTCATCTTACTCGTAGACAAAAGACTAAAGGGGAATTACATATCAAAAAAAAAAAAGACTAAAGGGGACTTTGGGCACATATAACATATGAAGATAAAGTGAGGTCAGAATCAAGAGACACATTACTAGTATCAATGATGGAGGAATGGGAGGATCATTGGGGCAACATTTCTTCTAGGGCTCTCCCTAGACTCACTTCAGACCACTGGCCAATAGTTTTGGTCAAGGAGGAATTAAGAGGAGYAGGGCCTACCCCTTTCAAGTTTGAAAATATGTGGTTGTCTCATCCGGGTTTCATTGTGAAAATCAGAGAGTGGTGGGAGCAAGCGAATCCAGTAGTTGATTGGGAGGGA